GGTCGAATCAGAATAAATAAATACTTTATCAATTTTTGATTGCAATAAGATAGACACCTTTTTTGCCAGATTTGCTAAAAGCAAAGCTCCATTAAGTTCCAATCTAGGAATGGTAAGTTTTTTATTTATAGGTACTATTCTAGACTTTGAACAAACTAAATTTACATGTACTCTGTCAGGAAAAAATGTTCTTACATAAATGACTGCTCCATATGCTATCATGGACGAATCGCAAAACCCTACAAGCTCAATGCTATTTGCGTTTGTGAAATATAAATTCCGAGGAATCTCCAAAGTTTGCATGTTAATAAAACCCTTTATAAAACTTTTCCAAATGTCCAACAAATCATCGGGCAATACTTCATCCCAACTAAGTTTGCATGTCCAAATTTTTTACATGATTACTTTGGCTGCCACCAAAATCGGGCCTGCCAACCCCAAAGGGTCATAAAATTTGGAGATCAAACTGAGTACTTGTCTCTTTGTTAAATATTCATTGATGTCCATAACTTTAGGAGTTGACAATTTAAAATGATCAGAAATGGTATCATAAGTTAGGCCTAGTGTTTTTACGGTAAAATTATTCTTACTCATATCAACCTCATCGAAATTTTGTTTATCTTTAGGGATGCCACTCAAAATGTTTGGTTCATTGGTACACCATTTATGCAGAAAAAATGATCGTGAACCCAATAAAGAAATTAATTCGTCTCTAAGCTTTATGGTCTCTTCAATTGTGTCAGAACCCGATAAGATATCATCTACGTATGTATTATTTAAAAGAGCTTTTGCTGCGAGAGGGAATTTTTTACCTTCTGAGTGAGCCAGCTCAGCCAAACACCTCGTTGCTAAAAAAGACGAGCTTTTCAAGCCATAGGTGACTGTCTGTAATTGAATATACTGTAAGGAACCGAGATGATCTCTCCACAGAATGTTTTGCAATGGCCGGTGTTCCGGGTGAATTAAAACCATGCGGTACATTTGTTTTATGTCAGTTAAAATTACGAATTTATAAGTTCTGAAGCAAACAAGAATATCGAATAAGTCTTTCTGGACTACTGCCCCATTGTACAAGAAGTCATTTATACATTTCTTTTGTTTCGATTTCATGCTGCCATCAAAGACAACTCTGAGTTTGGTGGTTTTTTTGTCTTCCCTTATAACGGGGTGATGCGCCATGAAATAAATCGAACCATTAGTTAACTCCTCTACAGGGTAATTGACAATTTTGGCATGATTTAAATTCAAATAATCATCCATGAAACTCTTATATTGTGAGAAAAGATCAGGATTAACTCTAAATCTTTTTTCCAGGTTTTCAAAGCGCTTTATAGCCACTGAAAATGAATCCCCCAAATTTATGTCAGTTTGTTTTAGTGGCAATTTCACCTGATATTGGTTATTTATTATTTCAAGAGAATTTTGAAAACAAGACTCGCAAGCTTCTTGCTCGCTGGGATATTCTGGAAATATCTCAGGGACTTTCTCAGTTTCCCAAAATTGAGACATGGTTTTTTCAAGATCTGAATAGGTCGCGTGAAACGCAAAAAAATTGCATGTGACATTTGCACAAGCAGAAATTGCACCGCTTACAATATAACCGAATAGGGTGTTTTGAAAATATATATTGTTGCATTTAAGCTTCTCCGAGAGAAAAATTTCAAACGCCACATTTGCACCCAATAAAAAATCAATCGGTCCCGAGCGGTAAAAACTGTCATCAGACAAATGAATATTCCGAGGCGTTTCAAACTCTGAAATATCAAAACTTACATTAGGCAAATTGCTTGTAATAGTGTCAACAAGCGCACACTTTATGTTTTTTGAATAATCAAAAACCAAAGATTCAATATTTAAATTTATTGATTTATTAATTTTAGTTTTAGTCTCCGATATGCCAGTGATATTCAAAGAACTATTAAAGGCTTTTAATCCTAGCTTTTCAACTAAACTGTTTGTTACTAAACAAATCTGAGAGCCGGTGTCAACCAGACCTCGGGCGTAAATATATTTGCCTTTATTAGATTTAATTTTTACTTTTAAGGTAGGTAAAAGTACAGATTCTTGCTGTGAGGCATTGGAATACATGACTCTGCGTTCAGTAGGAAAATTATTATTTTCACATTGCTTGTCCAAATGCAGCAGGGTATTGTGTTCCTTTTGACACATACCACACCGAAACAACATTTTACACTTTCCAGAATGAATATTCAAACATAATTTACAAAAATTCTGTCTGTCGACAAAAGATATACGATCCTTTACTAGTACGGATTTGAACTTTTTACAATTATACAGTTTATGTCCAGATATTGAACAAAAGGGACATTTTACATTGGTTTGTTTTGTTAATAAACCGTAAACCTTTTCTTTAGTTTTATGCTCTGGGGTACTACTAGTTGCCTCTAAGGCTGTAGCTCTATTTTCTAAATAGGCCAAGAATTCATCCAAAGTCGGCAATTTGGAACTATCACGATCTATTTGATAGGCTCTGTTGGTAAATTGGTCAACTTTTCTACTTAAAATACAAATCATCACCATGTCCCAGTTGTCAACAGGCTGGGCTAGGTTTTTGAGAGCTCCAATTTGCTGCTTGATGCGACTTACAAAATCTCTAAGTGCATGAGCTGTACCTTTTTGTATGGCAGGAATATCCAAAATAGAAAAAATATGTGAATTTATGATCATAGTTTCATTATTAAATCTGTTATTTAAAATATCTATGGCACCTTGATATGAAGAATTTATTAGTGGCAGATTATCAATTAAGCTTAAAGCCTCACCCTTCAAATAATTTCTCAAATAAAAGAGCTTTTCAACATCTTTTAACTGTTGATTTTTATCGATGACAGCATTAAATATATCGATAAAAGATTTGAAATTGGTTAAATTTTTTCCATCAAAGGTAGGTATCTCGATTGGGGGCAATTTAGCAGCAGAAATAAAATTATTACTTTGAGTAGGTGGAATTTAAACCGATTGAGCAATATTAGTTGCTAAATTACTAGTATTAGCTGGTCCTGGTAAATTAGATTTAGGTAAACAATTTTTAATACTTACAATGACATCATAAAAAAGAGTTTCTACATCATCAATTGAATCATCATAGTTACCATCAAGGCACAGAATTTCAACTTGAATGTCTTTAAGCTTTTGAAAACTGTCCTGCAATATTTCCTTCCGAACTAAAAATTGGTCGGTTTTATACTCACTGTCAGGATCAGATTTGTGATCGGAAATATAACGACTTATTCTAACCATGGAGTCGATTGCTTGCTTTTTCTTTGACAATAATTTATCAATTTGCTTTTTGGTAGCCATATTTACAAAGTTTACAATCAAAAAAATAAGAAAATATCAAAAGAAATCTATAAACAAAATTTAAAATTACCTAATAAATTAGATTTTTTTTTTTTAAAAACTACTTAACAAAACGAAAAACGGATAATTGTTCATCCTTTAAATAAATAATGAAAAAATAGCAATAATTAATGCGAAAAATTCAGTTTTTCAAAAATAATGCAAATTCACTCAAATTCACTGCAAAAATCCAAAATACACAAACAACAAACAACAAAACGTAAACAAATGTTTGACATTTAATTTGAGGTTAAGCTGTCGGGGTGGTGAACTCTCACTTTCATGTTCGTTGCTCCGGGGCTGTACTTCATTGCACCAAGCAAGGATACTGCACCCGGGGTGACTTGGGTTGAACCAGACGAGAAAAAGAAGCACCCTTTTGAATTTGACAAGTGAAGAAACTTCTGGAGCACACAAGAGTTTCTTGAACATGCCTAGAGTTTATTTAGTTGTTAATTCTGGCAGTATAGCGCAAGGGATACGATATCCTTCCATAGATTTCCATCAATTTTAAATAACAATGGGAGGTTTGATTTGTTAGCTCAAGAAAGAAGAGAAAAATTCATTAATGTTGTTAAAAGAGAAGATCTGACAGAAAAATAGATTAAATTATAGAGTAACCATACTTATATATTTGTTCTTGTGACACTTGGTTTTGATTTTTGTTGGAAAAACCCTGAATTTAATCCATTATAGAATAACCTAGCAAAATTCTGGATAAAAGACCACATAGACTGGAACATAAACACTTTACTTTAACTTGTTTAAAACAAAATAACACAAAAAATTGCAAAAAAGCTGTGAAAACTGCATAAAACAAAACCGGCCTAATCTACACCAATGTAAATAAATGATTTGTTTTACCTCAGGGCGATTGTCAAACTCATTTGTGACGTCACATGGACATGCCCAATAGACTTAAAAATTGCAGAAAATTTTCTGTATCTGTCAGTTTTGTAAAATAGTATATTGTGTATTTAGGTGGAAAAGTGACACATTCTCGGCCGACGGTGTAAGTTGACACCGAAGGCAGAGAATGTGCTTTTCCACCGAAATACACATACTATTTTTTTTACGATCGGTTAAATACCTGTTAAATGTTTGTCTTTAAGTTCCAATTATTCAGCAGTACGAGAATCACTTTCCCGGCCGAGGCCGGAAAAGTGTTTCCCGTATTGTTATTCATTGATTCCTTAGCAACTATTGAAACATAATTGAAATCCAGAATATTGAATTTTGCGACCTGTCAAAAATGCTGACATTTCTTGTCAATCGCAGAAAAAAACAATTTTAGCACGAGACATAGCGAATTTTTATTTAAATCTGAGGCCTCTATAAGGTCAAATTGACGATGAATTTACACTCTCTTGAATATAACAAAATCTCGAGACAATCATTGTCTCCTTGATAATTCAATAACATTGTATTGTTTTGCTTTGATAATATTCATTGGGTTCAGAAATAGCAGTTGTATCACTATTGATGTGAATTAAGAATATTTGAATAAATAATAATAATAACAATAAAAAGAAAATAAAACATTTTGTTTAACTAATAAATTATAGAATAACTGCTAGTTGCTAATATAGTGCATTTGAAATCCTGAATCCTTAATCTTCAAATAAATTAATTTGTTGCAGAGTGCAGAGAAGTCCTAAGTTTCAATCCAAAAACCAAGGATGTTGAAGAAAATGGCTCCAAATACACATCAGTGAGAGAACTATTTGGTCCAAATGAAAAAGATAATATTTACATTATGGATGCCAAAAATGCTGGAAACATTGGCAGATTTTTAAATGTAAGTACTAAGTACCTACCTGATTTTATAAAATTATCGTTATTGACAGTTATTGCTCAGTTTCAAAGCCCTAAGTAACACACCATTGTATTATCAAATCAAAAAATATATATGTATATCTATTTATTATATACAAATTTATAATAATTTTGGTGTATGCATAAGGTTTTACAAAAACCTGTGCATTATAATAATACTGTTCCAATATGTCAAAAACCTCGCAATGAACGGTTTTGAAACCACTCTGTATACAAATTCAAGACTCTTTGGGTTTGGGGAGAATCGTGATGGTGAATTGTGCCGTGTTGGAACAAATAATATTAGATGTCATCGTTGCTTATACTTATAGGTATTTTTTTTTCCTTTCAGCATTCCTGTTCTCCCAATGTGTTTGTCCAGAACGTTTTTGTAGACACACATGATCTTAGATTCCCGTGGGCGGCATTTTTCTCCTCTCAATTTATAAGAGCTGGCACCGAATTGACTTGGAATTACAGCTACGATATTGGCAGCGTACCAGGAAGAGTGTTGTATTGTCACTGTGCTTCATTGGAATGCAAGGGAAGACTACTTTAATTTACATTAAGAATATTACTATTTTAGAATAAGAACTTTCGAATTGTGCTATATTTCATTGAACATTGATTTTTTTTTAGTTTTTGACGGATGAATGTTTTTCGCACAATTCAAATAAATATATTTCATTTTGTCTCAATTTATTATCAGCTGTTTTTCGCGGTTCTACCCGCTGGAGATTAAATTTTATTGGAATTTTCAATCATGGATTGAATTCAAGGTTGGTGTCAAATAAAAGTTTATGAAAATCTAAGATGAGGATGTAAGATCGGCTTTCTTCTAAACATACATTAATCAATATTTTAAAACAAAATTTTTCTAGATGTCGGTCGCATTTTTCGTTTTGCTGTAGCTTAACATATTTGCTTAACCAAAATATGATAATTAGTGGAGTAAAAACCAAGGGAAAAGTCGCTTCCTTCTCGATTTTTTTTTTGGAGGTCTAACCAGATGAAACCTATACAGGATGATTGGTTATGCTCTTGTGCATCGAAAATGGCCAATTACGACTTTTTTCGCGGGGTCAGACATTTTTTATTTCATAAAATGTCAACAATTTGCCGAAATGTTATTTCCGTGCTTTTTTAGACACACCACGCGATAACTCCGAAACTAATCAACCTATCAACGTGTTTTTTTTTTAATCAGTAGAGGACATATAGGCGGTGATAACTGTGATAGTTTAAATCCCATAGTGAATGTACTTTTTTTTGGAAAATGGTTTGAACTTCAAATTGTACTTTAATTGCAGCATGTTTTTCGGTAAACGAGAAACTTTTTTATTTGAACGAAATTTGTCATAGTATCTGCGTTATCTGCGTATGATATGACGAGAAAGTATCAAAATAGTATATTATGATATAAGTGTATAAGAGGGTATTTAAAGCACGCGCGATATATTTATAAGTCGCAAGGGCTTTAAATGCCCTCTTATACACGCATATCATACGCTATTTTTTATTACGAATGCATCATAATCTCAAAAATGTTTTAAAAGTGTTCATTCATTTTGATAAGTAGTAATTTAAATGGGAGGTTTGCAGGTAAATATCTATGTAATGAAGGTAGATCGAACGTTTCTATAGCAAACCTTTGAAAAGGTAGACGCATCATAAACGCACGCTGCAGCGTGCGATAATCGTTGATTATGATGCATGCGTAATAAAAAAGTTTAAAAAAAATCAACCATCTGTAACAAATCGTTTTCTAGTTATCCTCGATTAAAGTTATGAATATCCAGAGCGCGCGATCCAAGTTTGCGCGATGTACCTACTTGACGTCGCGACGGCACGGGCAACAAATGAGTGCGTGTAGTGGAGATGCCCTTATATTAATTGTGTTTGTTTTTGTTGTCTTTTAGCTACACACGTCGAAGCCGATTTCATAGTTTGTTGACATAATCGTTTTTCTTAATCTATGCGTTTTCCTTTGTTAAAGTTTTTTTATGCCTGTGCTTTATTTAGAAGTTACCTACTTTATTCAATTAAATAACTTGTGTAAGTTAATTATTATTATTAAAAATGGAATGTTTAATTTGTCGGGAGCCTATACACAAAAATGACCAAATGGTCGTCCAAAATCCTCGACAAAAAGGCCTAGAAACAATTATAAAAATCTCAGAAAATAGACAAGATGGCTTTAGCAAGCTAATTTTATTGGAAAAAGATCACATTTTAAGTGGAAAAATTAAAGTGAAATATCACAAGGCTTGTAGACAATCTTATATGAGTGTACAAAATGTGAGGACTCAAAATATCGAGGAACAGGACGAACATTTTAAACTATCCTCTACAAGATTATTTTCACACACTCGGAAAACGCAAGATGGGGAAAGCAAATAAAGGAAGATGCAATAAAATTGGTAAGTGAATCTTCGAAAAAGACAAACCACATATTTATTGGTGCACCTTATGTGCCAGATAGGCCAATTCTAAATGGGTTTATAAACAAACAGAATCAAGATATACAAAACTGCGTAAAAACGAGAAATGCTACCTATATCGACATCAACAGGGTGATTAAATCATTTAATATCGATAACAATGGCGAATTGGACTATCGTGGCAAGTGGCTACTAATTAATTAATTATATCTACAAGCACTACATAAATACAACGACAACATCCACACAGACCGAGGAGCATCCTCACCCCTAGGAAACAGTAAACCAGCAAGAGAAACAAAGACAAACATGGTCAAGACCTCGACAAGCAGTCCGCAATCAACCTACAGATGGTACAGCACCGAACCAAAACCAGTCACATTTTTCATCCCAGTCACATTTTTTATCCCACCCAGAACTACGCCATTGCCAAAACCAAAACCTAAACAAATAGAAACAGATACAATCGTAATAAACCACATAAACGCCCAAAACTTAAGCAACAAGCTCAACCTGTTAGAATTAACAACAATAGAGCAGAAAACGGATTTTTTATGTATAACAGAAACATGGTCAGCCAAAGAAGGAGCCGTGAACTTGGTCCTCAGGGGATACAATCTACTATCCTACTATTGCAGGAAGGTACATATACATGGGGGAACAGCAATCTACGCCAAAGACTCGCTAAAGGGAAAACCTATCCCAGAGATTAAAAATTATAGCATCGAAATGGAGGTTGAATGCTGTGCTATTCAAACAAAAATCAGAGCGACACCCACTGCCATAATAGCAGCGTATAGACCACCAAATGGTAAGTTGGATATCTTCATTCGTCAAATGACTGCAATACTGTCAGAAATGGCAAAAAAATTCGACTACATTATACTTTGCGGCGACTTAAATATAAATAGCATGAAAAAAGAGGATCCAAAATACAAGATATTGCAAGATATGTTCGACTCACATTAACTCACCAACCACTGTCTAGGTCCAACACGAATATTTCCTGCACAAAACGGATTATCTATATCATCAATCGACTACATGGCAACGAACTTTCCAATGAATATTCTAGCTTGCGAGTCATCTCAAGCCCACATATCAGACCATCTTCTACAGCGACTTGAAGTTAATCTATCAGCAAAGATTGCAAACGAAATAACTCCAATATTTAAAAATATCAGAATAAAATGCCATGACAATTTGAACAGGTTCAAAAACAACCTGAAACTGGAAACCTGGGAAAATATTCATATGCCAGAACTGGAAACCGCATTTGATAATTTTCTACAAACACTCCAATGGCATTACGATACCACATGCCCCGTAAAAAGAATTAATATAAATAATAAAAAAGACAAAAAAACACACTGGATCACTGAAGAACTAAAGAATCAAAAGCAAGAGTTAAAGCAACTTTATAATCTAACAAGGGAAACGAACTCTAGGGCAGGTCAGGAAGACTACAATAACGAGAGAAAAAAGTATAGGCAAAATATTAGACAGGCGAAAATAAATTTTAATGAGCAAAAGATTATAGAGTCATCTAACAAAACAAAAGAAATATGGAACATTGTAAATGATAAGTTGGGCAGAGTTAAGCATTCCAAAAAAATCGACCTCAAAATCGATGGTACCCTAATCAAAAATGATAAAGAAATCTCAAACCACTTTGGTAGATTTTTTTCGAATGTTGCGGAAATAAAAATATCAAGCCATTTCGGTGCCACTGTTTCGAATCTTCCAACCACCTCGCATCTGGTCGAAAACACCATCTTCCTCCATCCAGTGACTCCAACAGAAATTGCCGACATCATCATAGGTCTCAAAAACAAAACAAGTTGTGGCCCTGATGGAATAAATACCAGTGTGGTAAAGAGGGTCTGTCCTGAGTTGTCTCACCCCTTAGAAGTACTAGTGAATAAATCAATCTCTGAGGGAGTATTTCCATCCAGCTTAAAACTAGCTACCGTAGTTCCTGTTTTCAAAAAAGGCCTGTCAACGGATATCGAAAACTATCGACCGATATCCATATTATCCGTATTTTCAAAAATATTTGAAAAGGTACTATACAGTAGAATAACCCACTTCTTAGAAAGATTTGAAATCTTGGATGCATCACAACATGGATTTAGATCTGGAAGATCGACGGGAACTGCTGCGTACGAGTTTATTGAGTACATCCACGCACAACTGGAACAAAACAGAATCGTAATTTGATTGTTTTTTGACCTGTCCAGAGCATTTGACTCTTTCGACTTAGCTTTTGTCAGGTTAAAATTGGAATCCATTGGAATTCGAGGTAAAGCACTCTCTTTAATAATGTCCTTCCTATCAGAGCGAAAAATACAGGTGAGACTGGGAGAAGATCTGTCTGACATTCACTCTGTTAATATTGGAGCACCTCAGGGCTCAGTGCTGGCGCCGCTGATTTTTCTGCTCTTCATCAATGACCTAAAACTACCTGGCCTTACAATTAAGTTTGCGGATGATACAACTGCAGCTATATCGGCTGATAACGAAAAAGAAGCGATGAAGAAGTTGGATGAAATTTTGTGACCATATGAGTTCTTGGTGTTTTAGTAATAAGCTTATTCTCAACAACTCAAAAACAGTAACCATACATTTTCATAACTCCAAACCGAAAATTGAGCTCAAGGAAACCGAAGAAGCTGTAAAATTTCTAGGAACTTATCTTGACAAACAACTTCAATGGCACACTCAAGTGGATCATGTATGCTCCAAACTCAATTCCGCCTATTTTGCCCTACTTAAGCTTAGACAAGTCGTCGAAAGACACGCGCTATTGTCAGCTTACTATGCCCTAGCCTACCATCACATGTCTTATAATATCATTCTATGGGGACAAGCTGTTGGCGTTGGTAGAGTATTCATCATCCAAAAGCGGATAGTAAGGTGGCATAAACAACAGGAAAGCTGCAGTCCAACCTTCAAGGACCAAAAACTACTTACTCTTCCGTCCATCTATATATATAAGTGTGCGATATATGTATATAAAAACAAAGATAGATTTATAAAAAATGGAGAAAATCATCTATATTCTACCAGGAAAAGCAACGAACTTAGCCTTCCACGACATAGCACTGCTTTATTTGAGAAGTCTCCTCAATATGCATGTATAAAGGTCTACAATAGACTACCAGGAGAAATAAAGACTGAACAGACTGAAAAAAGATTCAAAGTTAAATTGAAGCAATTTCTCTGCGAAAATTGTTTCTATTCCTTTAGTGACTTTATGAATAAAAATGTAAATGGGAATGTTTAATACTATGTCT